CGGGACACGACGGGGTGGGGGCCCGCCTGCGCGTGCTAGCGGCCTGACCCTCCGCGCCGTTCCCGCGGGGAGGGTCAGGCGCAGCCGGGAATCTGGCGGGTAGCTGTACGTAGTGTTGGCTGGTTTTGTCGTCAGTATCCTGATGACACCCTCGAAAGCTTGAACACAAAGTAAAGTAATAAATGTAGCAAAGTTCCTTGGGAAGGAACACGTGCACCTCAGTTTCCTAAACCACATTGGTGGCCGTGTTGCTGTCTGGCTTGAGCAGACCGGTGTCGCAAAGGCAGGCTCATTAAAATGAACGTTTCAGTAACACGCATCATCCAGTGTCTCTAAAGGAGGGGCGTGGATTGAAGGAGGGCTTAAGGGGCAGAGTTGGGAGAGATGGTTCCCTCCCAGCACAGGCTCGGATGTTGGGGGGCTGTTGCCTCTGTCTCCTCGTGGGACGCCTGGCTGGGGGTCAGATGCCCGGAAACCTGTGCCATTTCCTGCCCTCCTGGTCTGCATTTCAGTGTCTGTCTCAGTCTGTTTAGCCCTGTTTCGAGACTGCGAGCAGGTATTCTTTTCTCATTTCTGTAGCACAGGACTCTTGGAACCCCTGCTTAGGGAATTAAATTTAGGTGGCTGTTTCTGTCCAGTCTTGGCATTGTTCAGCTTGTAGTTCCTAATACTTTCCCCCTTATTGTACTTAACAAAAACCTCATCCAGTAGTTCTACCATATTGTCAATTTGTGGTGATAAAAAAACATAAATAGCCGTTGACTTCCGAAGTTGTATCACATAAGTGTACTGTGTGTGTTTTTATGTGTAAGTATATGACGTTTTGGAGTATGTGTGGCAGACAGAGCTGTGCAGGTGTCTCCCTAAGGCCCCCGTGCCCTGGCTGCTGGGTCAGACTCTAACCGTGGCCCTGGTGTGCGGGGGCCTTGGAGAGTCGTTCACAGGTCACACGTGCTGAGGTTAGGACAGGAGAGTGTCCTGGACTGTCGGGGTGGAACTCCGTGCTCACGTCAGGCCCCCACACAGAAGAGGAGGCGGGAGAGGAGGTCGGGAGATCCGCAGGGTGAGAAGGCCTCCACCCGCCTGGACTGCTGGGCCGGGAGCTGGGGATACGGTGGCCTCTCGAACCTGAGAGTGACCCCTGGCTGACAGCAGTGAGGTATCCAGAACCTCTGTCCTACAGCCGCAGGGAACAGGATTCTGCCAGACACCTTAATGAACTCCGGGCAGCAGCCCTGCCAACACCTTGACTACTGCCTTGGGAGACTCTAAGCAGAGAACCGTCTGGCCTGCACCGTGTCCAGCCTTCTGACACACAGAAACCATGAGCTCATCAGTGGGTGTTGTTTTCAGCCACTGAGTTTGCGGTAATTGTCACATTACCGTAGAACGTGGATACGGTGCGTTAAAGAGGGGAGTTTTGTTGTTGGTAGTAACATGATAAAGTTCCTCTTAGTGAGTCTTCCGTGCCTTAGCGTCTGGTTTGGCCTCCTGCCACGTTTTAGGCGGCACAAGCAGTGGGAAGGTAGGTTTTAAAGAAACGGCTTCTGTGCGGAATGGGCTTAGGTAGATGTGTGTGGGGCTCAGGCTCACTGTCTTGTATTTGAGAAGAGTCAGAGCAGCAGACACAGGTGGCAAGACCTTAGAAATGATTCTGTTCAGGCCTCTGGTTTTACAAATTTTACAGGAAATTGCATAACAGACAAAATGATTTGCCCGGGTTCTTAACAACCGAAAAAAAAGGAGAGACGGGAAAAGAACCAAGATGCCCTAGACTGATACCTCTCCATGATGTTTTATCTTCGTGCGTCATCTGGCCTTTGCTGGGAGTGTCAGAGATGGACCTAGGGACTGGTTTCCAGGGCGGCCCTGGCAAAGCAGCACAATGTAGGGGGCTTAACACAGCGGAGACTTGCTCTCTCCCGGCTCTGGAGGCTGCCAAGTCCCACATCAAGGTGCCGGCAGGGCCTCATTCCCCCCGAAGGCTCTAGGAAGAATCTCTCCTCGCCTCTGCTGGCTCCTGGCGGTTGCTGGCGGTCCATGGTGTTCCGTGGCTCGTGACAGCCTAACTCCAGTTTCTGCCCCTGTGTTCGCGTGGCCATCTTTCCCCTTGCAAAGGCACCAGCCGTTGGTTGAGGGCCTATCCTAATCCAGTGTGCCCTCCTTGTAACTTGATTACATCTGCGCAGTCCCTGTTTCCAGATGAGGTCACATTCATTCACAGTTTCTAGGGGACACTATTAAACTGAGTAATAGCAACTCCAAACTTCCGCTTCTAAAACTGAGCCCCTGTGCTCCTGCCCCATTGTGGCCCCGCAGTCTCCCCCTCTCAGTTGGTGGCAGCCTCATTCTTCTGGTTGTTTGGGCTCAAAACAGATTCATCCTTGAAGTCTCACTTTCTCTTTTGTATCTGTTGTTTGGACTTTATCCAGAGTCCCACACTGTCCTGAGCTGCTACCTCTGACCTGTGGCTATGGCACCGCCCTCACGGTGGTCTGCTTCTGCCCTGCCCGCAGCACAGCAGCACCTCAGATCCTGTCCCAGTGCCCAGAAGTCCTCGCGTTGACAGCTCAGGCTCTGCTTCTTCTGGCCCTTCTGCCTCTCTGACCTCGCCTCGTTCCCCAGCCCAGCGCGGCTCTCCAGCCCTAGTGGCGCCGTTGTTGGCACACTCCCCTCTCTCCGAGCATCAGCTCTCCGTTTCACTGGTGTCATCATTACTCTTGCCCTGCTGCCCAGAGACGCCTTCTCTGCACCACCAGTCTCAGCCGGTCCTTCCCGCTACTGTCTTCCTTCCCTGTAATTAATCCCTCTCAGCCTTCTAAAGCATCTTTTATTGTGAAGTATGTCATATATGTAAAGGCTGTAAAAGGTGTATGTTCAGATGGAACAGTAAAATGAACGTCTGTGCCTGTGACCCTGCTTACCAAGCAGAACTCTAGCCGTGGCTGAGACCTCTCGGTGCCCCTTCCCACCCCCGCCGGGGTCACCGCCACTCAGTGCCGTGTGCGTTGTTCTTTCCCTTTTCCTCATAGTTCTACCCCTCAGTATATCCTAAACAACGTGTTACTTACTTTCGCCCGTTTTTATATTGAGTGGAGATGGAATTGCACAGTGTGTACTCTACAAGTTGAATCTTTGCTAAGTGCTGTTTCTGCGATTCATTTATGCTGAAGCATACAGCTGTGTTCTTTTCACTGCTGGGTAGTATCTCACTTTGTGAATAAGCCCAAATTTACCCTTTACATTGCTGCCGGGCATGTGGGCTATTTCCAGTGTTGGAGGATCATGCACGTAGGTTGCCGTGGACATTGTGGTGTGCCTGTGCACGGTGTAGACCTGGATGTAACGCGGTCCTGGAGCGTGCTCACGTCGGCTTTGTGGGTGGTTCCCCATGTGCATGTTCTGCACTGGTCACTTTCCGTGTTCACTGACCCCTTGGTCCCATGCAGGTCTGTTTCCACCCACCCGATGGGTGTGACGTGGCTCCTTGTGGTTTTAATTTGTAGATCATGATTAGTGAATGAAGCTGAGCGTTGTGTCATGTTAATAGATGACTTGTGTTTTTCCCTTTGTGAAATGTCTGTTCGTGTCTTTTAACAGATTTTCGTAGTGTGGTTTCTCTCTCTTTCTGATTTGTAGGAGTTTTTTGTAAGTTCCCTGTCCCTTTTTATGTTCCTAATTCTTTGTTGGTTATATGTGTTACGAGTATTTTATCCCTGTTTGTGCTTTCTCTTCTCAGCCTTCGTGGTGTCTTGTTCCAGCCACCTTTCTTTAAAAAGGCAGTTGTATTGGGGTACAGTTGACATACAGGAAGC